AGGCACACCTTTTATCGGAGCCGGACGCACACAGATCGCGACGACAAGTAATGGGGGCCCTGATAAACCCGCACCCTCAGATTAGCAAAGCGGAGTTATAACGTCTGCATTTGCGGACTAGGTCACACCAGACAAGACATATCGTATGCCACTTGTGTTTTATGTACAAACGTGCATACACTAGCCAATAATTATTTAACAATTTTTCTGGTCCCACAGGGAGGAGTTTAAACGTAGGAAGCATACCTACGAAATATATGCCACAGCGAACTGTTGAGACAGCGAAGCCAGTTGCTCGGAAGGCACCTGTACGTAGGATAGGTTGATATACAAATAGTGCATGCACATATTTTAATGCAATGATTAAAAATGTAGCACATAATTTACTAAACCTTTATCAAATAAAATGCGACGAGTATGACAATGTGATTATAATAATTGACCAGTTTTTATATGCTACGTATTTTGTGCTTTAATTGTTTGCTTTATTTTTAGACACTGAGATCACCCCCACCTACTGTGGAGCAAGTGGCTTACTATTCCTTGGCTGAAGTAAGGAAGGCAGCCTGTGCAGTTAAGCTACCTTGGATGGTTGTGGAAAAACCAAATGATGTTGTCACGTTCATCTTCATGGACCTTGCCCAGGCTTCACTTCACATCCAGCTGTGTGTCAACATATACAGTGATCTATCCACCGAGGTGGAAGTGCTAGGTATACCTGCTCCACGCCTCCAGTCATCGGTTGAAAAGATTGGTCTTGTTCCTTATCTAAACAAGCTAGAAAACCTCTATCGGTGTCCTGGGATAAGTGACCCTGAGCTTCAAGATTATGCTGAGCTTCCAACCATCGGAAATACGTATTATCGACATATCACAAACACATCACCCATGCAACATGAATCTACTATCCGCTCGACATCTTGTTCTCTGTTGCATGAATGCTCAGGACCTTGTCACGAGTGTAGAAAAATTTCTACGCTTATAAAACGAAAGCGTGACAGAAGCCAGGACAGCTCTGTCCCTAGCATTAAGTCGCCTTTGAATCAAATGAGCAGGAAAAAAGTTGCCATCGCTGTCAGAATAGCGCGTAAAAAAGCGAACGATTTACATGTACAGATCAAGAAATTTAGAGCAAGGCTAGATAAGGAATCTGTAGAAGTGACAAGCAGCGTTCACAACGACTTAATAGACGTTGTTAACAAGAAAGAAGTGGAGGATCCATTACTTAAACTATTCTGGGAAGAACAGGTAAAAGCCTTTAAAAGGCGAGATCGTGGAATGCGCTGGCACCCAATGATGATTAGGCTCGCTATAATGATTCATTCTCAAAGTAAACTTGCATATGACGCGATTCGCCACACTGGCATATTAAAACTGCCGGGCGATTCAACACTCCGCGACTATACGAACGTTGTACACCCGGAGAGTGGCTTCATGCCTGAGGTCCTTGATGAACTACATGAGGCTTCAAAACATCTCAAAAAGCATCAACGCTTTGTCGTATTGCTACACGACAAAATGACCATAAAATCGGACTTGGTTCGATACAAATAGCGGAAATATAGTAGGTTTTATCCGACCCGAAAACTGGAGTCCATTATCATATGACAGAGAAAGCCTGGTCACTCATGCCCTCGTATTCTATGTAGTTGTAGAAGGTTTGTCCCTATCAAAATAAGCATGGGATTCTTCCCAACAAAAACATGCACAGCTGACGAACTTTATCCACTGCTCTGGCAAGCCAAAGGATACCTGGAAACAAAGTGCCAATTAAAGGTCTGCATTATTTTTTATTATATGTATTATGACTGTCAAAATCGTGCATTGCTTGTGTTGGTGACCTGTAAATTAGATCTTTGCAATTACGTTCTATAATGCGCGATAGAGATATAATCATGTGACTGAATTTTAAGATAATAGTAGAGTGAATGCATTACCAGTTCTCTCATTTCACTATTTATGACAGAACAAGCCTTGCCACTTCTTCTTGTAAATAGGTTAGCTAGACTAGTGGTGCCCCCGGACGGCCCGTCCTTTCACCGCAGGTGTCATTTAAAATTTGTAGCGGCACGCTTCCCTAGTGGCCATTAAATACAAAACAGGGAATTACATTAGGGGAATTCACTGGGAATTCGCTTAGTCTGACTTCGTGGGCAACAGTGACTGACTTGACACAGCGTTTGCTGGTAAGCATGTCATCGTAACATCGTTGAAAATTGTTGGCATATGAAAGCGCACGAAAAACTATAATAAAACTGAAATAACCCTAATTACCTCAATGACTACGCCCACCGCATGCCACTCACGATGTTTACTCGGTGACGATGCCATCGCAAATCCCATTGGTTGATACAAATCACGTGCCTCAAACTCCTCAATGTATCTCGCCCCAGTGTATTCAAGGCACATTCAC